GTAATCTTACAAACAAACAAACAAACGACGGATGAAAATATAACCTCCCTGGCGGAGGTCGTAGGTCAGAAGAGGACCAACCTTACTATAAAATACCCTTGAAAGCTCTGTCTCGATCACCATGACAATAATGCCTAACATCCCAAAGACCAACGCGTAGTCACTCAGTTGTTTACGCTTCCCAAAGAGAGCTCTCCTTTGGCCCAGCCGGTAGCTAATGTCTTTAGTCCTCTTCGTTGGTGCGCCGCCCTCCTCCCTGGTCAGGTTGTCGCTGTTGGCCTTACTGGAGTCTTCTCTGAGTACTTTGGAGAATTCGTCTTCGAGGATGGCACTGTGAAGAAACTGAAGAGGCTGTTGGCCCGAGTGAAGATCTGCAAGACTGGATCTCAGAGCGCCGTAGCTGCTCAACGGTCGCACTGCATCCCCGTTAGCTGAGCCACTGGTTTCTAAGTTGTCCACTGGCGGGGGAGAATGTTTAGGGAGGGATACTTTGGACCCACTGAGGAGCTCAGAGGATGTCTGCAAGTAAGAGTCAGCACAGGGAACGTTATCAATCGTACAATATTACTAGAAAAAAACCTTGAACAGAATAAACGAGAGAAATAGTACCGCCAAAACAGGAGATGCACGACTAAGAGAAGTACATGTACCTGACTTTGTCCCTGTTTAGCTCTCTCCTCGACTAAATCCTGGGTCTCAAGTGAACTGTACTGGCTGATGGAGAAGGATTGGACACTTTTGTCTGGTGTGGATGACCTCTTCATGCGTGCAGTACTGGTCAGGAGGTTGTAAGGGAGATGACGACACTTGAGGATGATCGAGGGATCCCCAGATGATTTACAGGCTTGATCGCCCATCATCGAGCCATGAGATTCTCGATTTTGACGTTGTTGAACCAACAGTGGTTCTTTACCAAAAATCTCTCTCCAGCTGAGGTCTGCAGTGACGGCTGGCTGAGGCCGCTGGTGAAGAATCTGATTCATCTCAGCACACTCGACCGAGTTGAGAGGAATGTTGAACAAATTAGGACAGGTTGCTTGGCTGCTGTCCTTGAGCTTGAAATGATTGCAAGGCTGCTGCTGCTGCGAAAGCTCCTTCTGACTGTCTTGGTCACTGTGCTGAGGCATGAAATTATCATGAGGATGGTTTGTTGCAGGTTTGAAAAGACCCCTTTGGTTTGTTTGCTGTGGTAAAACCTGGCAGGAGGGTGAACCTCGGCTGCTCTGAGAGAAAGACTGGGTCAGTGGTGAACATGAAAGCCGTCTCTTATTTGTAACTCTGGAGGGACAGTCTTGCAGTGTGCTGTGTGTTGATGCCAGTTGAGAAGTCTCTGAATGCTGGTGTGCGTCAGGACAGGAACAAGCACATCTGTCCTGGTTTGGATGGCCCCCGCTGGTCCCTGCTCTCTCTGCCGAGGGTGAATCATGTCCTGCCCTGCTAACCTGGCCACATAGCAGCAGCCACTCTTGATCGCTGAGCTGGGATAAGGTTAGGTTCCGAGCTTTTAGCGGCGACATCTGGGCTGAAACTTGATTGATTCCATTTGATTTTTCATGGGACGAAGGTGCAACGCAGCACAGACTTGTCTCCTGTGGGGATGAAGAGGCTTCGACTGGCGGACCGCCCGAGGTGCAATGCTCATGGTCCCCGTTGGGGAAGACTTCACCTGTTGAGTCGAGGCGTCGCGTTGCATTGGTGGGTTTAACCAGAATCAACCTCATGGCATCACTGCAGAGCTGAAATGAGATCATAAGTTTGTTGTTTCATGACACAGGAAAGAAAGAAAAGAAAGAAGGAAATACATCTTTCTATCTTTTATGTACCATTTCTTTTTCTACATAAAGGTGTCTTGTAAGCCTGTTTTAGGCAGGATACATAATGTGCATGACATAATAATAAAAATCAATCCTATATTTTAATAAGGATGTCACAGTTTAACAACATGAACATATTATACATTAATTTATGTTTTTTTCATTAACTGTGAACACATTTAAAAATTCAAAAAATGTCTTTAGAGGAAACAAAAGATAAATATTATTTTCCTTTAGAAATATAATGTATTATCTGTATTTTTTGTCTTTGGCCTCTATGGCTTTTGCTCACCATGAAACATTATTGGAACAAGGTTAAGTAAATCTAATTCACACACTTGAGTATTTAATCATGGCACAATCACCAGTGACATAAAAGCAATGAATTACTGAGCCTCAGGTTGTGTGTTCAGCTGTATCTGGATGAACAACATTCTGTCAAATGCAGATGTGACCCCCCCTCATGTTAGTCCACTGTGCATGGAAAATCAGAAAGGCTCTGAAAATGGATCAGTTCCACACATTATTCAGAGGATAATAACCAGAAATACTTAATTTGGGATTCATTCACAGCGGAGGGTGGGTGTAAATCTATCTTCTGCTTTTATGTGTCTTGTTTCTTTTGAGAGAAAACAAAATCCAATTTTAACCAATGATGCTATTTCATATATTTTAGAATTAAATATATTCTAAAAAATAGATATTTTAAAATTGTATATATCCACAGATACACCAAGATTAAATAATCAAACCCAACAAATGATCCCTTTTTCAAAAAAACATTTGTCCGTTTTATTTTCCTAAAAAATATTAACCTCATCTGACAAACATGAGGACTAATACAATGTGATCTACACTATATGTTTAGTTTCAAAGTTCTGCCCAAAATGTTGGTTAATCATCACCATCCACATAGAAAATGAGTCCTAAGAAAGTATAAATACACAAAGACAGGTTTGTCTTAACTTGCATATTAACTTGAACATCAATTTTGTCATGGGTGAAATTGTTTTCTAGGACAGCAAATTTTCCTTAATTAATTTTTCTAAAAACTAGAAATAGTAAATGAAAAGAGTCCCCACTGGTGATCATTACCTTCTTCTTCCATATCTTGTTTTCTCCAAACTCAAAGACGCAGGTTACAAATAGGAAGTGCTCCCAGTCTGCAGATCAGAAGTGGTGAGAGGAGCAGCCTGAGTGGGTGTCGGACAGTTGCCTCCCTCCTCCCAGTACGAGCAGTTGATAAAGGAGCTTTGGAGACGCTTTCCTTTGAAAGTAATTAGAATTCATCATGAAGAAAGAAAAGGGCAGCAGCAGCTGGCCTGGTAAAGGGTTGACATGCAAATGGACAGAGAGTGGGAGGGTAACAGGAGCGGCAACAGGTTAGGATGCAGAAAGACAAGAAAAGCCTTGTAACATCAGACCAGAGAACGTGTGATGTTCAGGCGCAACATCACACGTACATGAGCTCAAAGAAATCCCTATAAATTGTGAGTGGACTGATTGGTTGCTACGGAAAGAGAAAATGAGCTGGTTGCTTTCAATGCGAAATGGAAAATAAAAGGTCTGTTGAAGTTGTCATTAAAGCTCCATATTTCAAAGGTCTTCACAGGGTCTCTTATCTCCTCCACCACAAGAGCCTGGATGGACAAAAGTGTCCATTTATAAATCTGCCTCAAATGAATCAAGCCAGTGAGCTGTCTTGTCCTCGAAGCCTAACCAATGCAACAGCAGCAGCAAATTTATAATAACAGAAAACAACACTGTCCTCCTGTCAAAATTTTAAATCAATCTGCAGGTGTTCTCTCAACCGAGTACTCTTTTTTCTTTTTTTCTTATTTAGACATAAAAAAACCTCCAAATACAAAACAGATCGGATTCCTCTTAATATGAAATACACCACACACACCACTCTCCAGTAAAATAATATAGTGGCTCAAAAATCATGTTTTTATTTTCCAGTTCAGTTTTTTTGCATTTCCTAATGATTGAAAACCTGTCAATAGCTTGTGGAAGAACTCTTTTGGTGGTAAACCCAATTTCCCACATATAACTGCAGGTAAACTACATTCACTTTTTTTGTTTTGTTTAGTTATTGCTTTGTGTTAGTTATATTCAGGCTGCTTTAGCCCTGTTGTAATTGTGTTTGCCGTCTCTCCACCTGGCATCGGACAAACCTACAAAGCAGTTTGCTGCCTCAGCAGCTCAGTCTATGAATGTTGCTGCGCTGGAGAAAAGCTTTGTGACCAACAGAGCAACTGTCACAATAAAATTTAAAAAATAAAAATCATGATGTACTTCCAAGATAAGTAAATTTTGTTGTTACGATAAGCTGGATTTAAGATGAAGTGTTTTGTTACTACCAGGCATCTCTTGATAATATCTGTCATTTTAAAGACAGATGTGTGATTTATAAGAAGGCAGCACAATTCTGATTGTTTCGATCATAAGTGTTTTCAGACATTTTCACATTTTAATTTCAACAGCCCACCAGAATATGAAAGGATACTAACATAGCTGGCTAGAGGCCAAAGAGTCTGGTGCCATTGATAAGGGAGGCCAGAGTCCTCCCCTACAAGTTCAACACAGGTTTTTTATTTAAAGGAAGAATATCTTGGTCATTTTAGTCATGTCGAGTGTTGCTTTTACAGTTTGTCATGAAGCCTTTTATATTTCATGTAAAACACATTGAATTGCCTTGTTGCTGAAATGTGCTGTACAAATAAACTCGCCTTACTAGACACACTGAGGCTCTGACAGGGTTTGATGACAATTTCTTTCTCATATTATTTCCTCTTAAGTGGCAAATTCTGCTCATGGTGATCCTAGATCACAGAGTACAGAGCCTTCAAATACTGGAGGGGGAGCAGCAGCAGCAGCAGTATTATATCAGCATTGTACAAGGCTGTGAGTAAAACACACTTGTGTCAACACTTAATTCAGCCTTTACCCACAGCGTTGCACCAACTCCAGTCAGGACCCACAGCACAAGTTACAGTCACCTGGTTGATGGACATGACAATAGAAATTGTTTAATCTCTAATTGATCTCTTGGTTTAAATTTACCAGTAAGCCTACTTTGTTGTTGGCTGAAGAGTATTGTCTACTTTCCTCATGATTGAATCAAGGTTTGATTCATCTTCTATTCGCCTGTGTCTCCAAACAAGAAAGATCGCAACACATGACTGACGGTCGAGTGGTGAACTTTAATAAGTTACTCTCAAAACATCTAATTCCCCACCTTCCCAGAAGTGCTAAAAAAGAGATGTAATTCAATTTATTAGATGCGCATATTCAAAATTAGAGGCCACGTGCACAGACATGATAACTAGTTGTGACGCTGATGGGTGGAGGGGTGAGCTTCTCCTTGGAGGCGAGTGTCCTCTGGTACTGGAGATATTGTTTCTCAGCAGATAGTGGCGAAGTTAATTTTTTGATGAAATTATTTAATTTTCCAATTAAAGTCTCCACAGTGCACAGTTTTCAAATGGCGTCACGATAGAAGGAGTGTTATCACTTTAGGTTGTATGTTGAAAAGCGCTGGTTCAAGGGGTTCTCTGGCGACTTCATCCACTCCTTCTTCAACTGTTGCTTCAGCTGAGACAATCTCATGTTGGGGCTCTCCTTTTTTAGGCGAGGCATGTTCGCCTCCTCATAGGCAAGAAACGCTGCTTTCATCCTCCGCTCCGGGTGGCGGTCCAGGTCCTCAGGTCCCGTGCTAGAAGATGAAGAAGACAGATTAAATAACAATGAAGTGTTCACATTCACAAGTCACATTCGCTGATTTACTGGCCTGTGTATGTCAATTAAAATCAGCATTGCAGAGATTAACAGGATGTCACACAGAGCAAACTGTCAATGTACCTCAGCACAGCTATGGCATCTTCTATTGTTCTGGCTTCCACTGTTCCTTCATCAGGGATAATTTTGTTCACGTTCTCCTCCAGTGGAGTCTCCAGGTGGCTCTTTTCTGCAGAAAACAATTATTTGAAAACATGAAAAGGTGTTGTCATGGTTAAACAAACGGCTTTCTGATTTTATCTGATCCTGACTCATCTCAACAACCTGATCTTTACCTTTCGGTTTGAGCTCCTCTTGCTGCTGATCATTCTGAAGCGTCTCCTCGATCTGGGCCCGGGTCACTTTTCCTCCACCTGCAGCATCCTTTGATTTGCCTTTAATCATGGAGAACTCTTCATCCAGAAGTCGCTGGTTTTCTTTTTTCCTCTCCAGGAGTTCCAGCCTCTTCTTCTCCTTGTCATCCTGGATAAACAGAGAGCTGTCTCATCAGGCTGCTGGGTTGTTTTCTGATAACAAAACTATCCAGGAAATGTTTTATTATTTTCTTACAGGCGCAAAATATTGGAACAGACATCTAAAATAACTCATAAATGATGGCTCCTTAAAACTTTTAGATATAAACGCTGTATGTGGAACTTTTTTCTCTGTTTGTTTGTGCTGTTTTGTAATTTAGCTGCTAGTACAAAAACCAGCAGGGGAAAGTTAAGACTTAATCCCATCTAGAGTTTAGACCTGTGGAGTTGATGTGTGAAAAGGTAAGACAGGATTCCTGCCCTGCATCAAAAGCTGTTTTCAAATATGACATCTTGTGTCCACATTTCTGTTTATTTATTTCTCTTTGTGCAGACCAGCTTGTTGGAGTAACAGCTCACCTTTCTCTGCTCTTTCTTGAGCACATGTTTGTCAGTTTCCTGCCACAGGGAGTCCTCCTCCTCTTGCTTCTTGCGGGCGTCTGCCACCGCTTTGGCCTCGGCCTTTCGGGCTCTGGCTGTGGCCGCCTTGGAGTTCTCGCCCTGGAACTTCTTTGGCATCCCAGCAGCTGCTCTTCAGCTGCGAAAGACACAGACAGACAAGTGTGAGACGTGTATGACTGGCAAGAGATATTTCAAGACTTATGCATTAGTCAACTTGAGCTGAGACAATAAGCTGGGTGATGATTTGGCAGAAAAATAATGTTTTAATATTCACTTAAATCTTTTGCAAGTAAAATTGGGAATTCTATGGTTGCAGCTTCTTAAATGTTATGATGTACTGCTTCTCTTTATCATATGATCCTAAAATGAATATTGTTGTCACCCGAGGCTCTGCAAATGTTGACACTTTAAATTCAAACAATCACAATAGAAACCAACGGATTCATATAATATGGGATGAACCATTATATGAGACAGATGGTGGACGCTTCCTCTCTTTTCTTTTTAGTGTTTACCACACATGTAGACATGAACATCTCTGGTGGCTCAACATGCAGTGTTTACACTGTGGTTAATGTGCACCAGTTGTTTGGGGACCACAAATGAATAGAAATGATATAAACAACCAGGAACTCATGTGAACGAAGGAAACGCAAGCTAATAAGGAACTTCCATTACCTAGCACGTGTTTAATGTGTGGGTTAGCTAATAAACTAACAAACAGCCTCGAACAGCAGCTGAATGTGCCTGAACCTTCATTCTCTAAAACTACAGCAGCAGCAACCACCCTGCTTGTGAGTGCAGTTAGCTTTAGCTTGTCGAGTTAGCATGATAAACAGGACTGTTTGGTTCGTCTACCAACCGGAAACTCCCAAATGAACGACGCCGAATCTTAGCTGAGGTGCGAGCAGTCACAAAACACGAAGGCTGAGCTCTGGACGTGGTTTCATACCAGAATGTGAAGAGAAACACGTCGTCACTAGACGACTGTTGTTTCGAGGAGGCGTCTCTGCCATAGACGGAGACGTCGACCCTGCGTCAGCCGCTGGATCGTGCGTAAGCGACGTCGACGTCACTGCGTAGATTTGAAAGGGACCTCATAGAGGAATCAAGGTTCTTGTTCATATATTTTCTTTTTATTGTTCATGCATTCAAATTTCCCTCGGGATCAATAAAGTATCTATTATGTCTCTCTATCTCTATTCTATTCTATCTATCTATCTATCCATCTATCTCTATTCTGTCTGTCTCTATCTATCTATCTATCTATCTCTATTCAGTCTGTCTATCCGTCCATCTATCTATCTATCTATCTGTCTATCTATCATCCATCATCCATCTATCTCTATTCTGTCGTTCTATGTATCTATCCATTGTCCATCTATCTCTTTTATTTCTGTCTATATCTATCTATATCTATCTATCACCCATCAATCTCTATTCTATCTGTCTATATCTATCTATCTATCACCCATCATCCATCTATCTCTATCCATCCATCTATCTATCATCCATCTATCTCTATTCTGTCGTTCTATCTATCTATCTATCGTCCATCTAGCTCTATTATTTCTGTCTATATCTATCTATCTATCTATCTATCTGCCATTCAATGTTGACTAAAGTTAATGAAATAATAATGTGCAGTTTGAAGCTGAGGGTTGCCAGATCTTAGTTGAGTATCCACATCCCACTCTTTTACTCTTCGTCATAATACCAAAACTCTGGTACTCAATCCTGGCAACTCATACAGATAAACTGGCCAATTAACTACAATTAAAATGATATAATTAATATAATGGATCATGTGATCCCTTGAGGTCACTTTTATGTTTAGCAGGAATCAGTCGGTTGATAAATATATATAAGTGAATATGAGTGGTGGTCTCAGACTGACGGAACCCACTGTAATATTCTAAAAATACATTCAAAGAACTGACAAACTGATATAAGATAGAACATTTTGGGTATTTTTTGTATTCACTGGAACACACTTGTTTGGTAAGCCTTGAATACACACTGTATAAATAAGCATTTAGTGTGGATGCAGTATTAGTAGATGGTATCATCTCATCATTGATAAAGACAGTAGAAAACAAACATATTAAATGCATCATTCATTGTAAGGTCAGTAAGATCAGTCATTTAACAAACACAGGATAAGAAAACTGTATTTTTATTGTAAAGAGAATAAGGACACATTTACGTCAAAGTGCATATTCGTTCACTTACAGCACAGGTGCTCCAGACCGAAGGAAAAGACAGTTTCTATCTGAGAGGCTGCACATAACAACAGGGGGGTTTTGAGTTGTTTATACATCTTATCATATCGTATTCTTGCAGAAAAAAGGACCATGGTACGTTTGTGATTATCTTTTAGGACAGAACGAGATCCTTAAATGATGACAGTCAGCTAACAAGCCACAGAAAAGTATATCCTGTTAACAAAGGCTGTGCATCATTTACTAACTTGTTGATCTGTTTTTTTTTTTTATATATGTAATGCTGAAGAAAACTCATTTTCTGTGCCGAAGCACAAGGGCACATGATGACACATGTCCAGCAGAGGGCAGGGTTATTCATATAATTACAGTTTACAGAAAAGTATAAATGTGAAAACCTCTATCAGACAAAATAAATACAGCGATTCATAAATTCCTGTACAGCGAGACCAGAAGTATATTTTGAATTAGAGGTGGAAAAGAAAATGGAGTATACTTATAGTTTAGAATGGCCAAAGTAACAGAGAGGTTCTATAAAGAAGTAGTTCAGAGGATCCATCTTGAAAAACAGGAGGGATTCTGGTCCATGCAAATGTCGATCATGATCCAAATAATCTGTGAGGGTTGAAGACAGTCAACCAGTTAGATGGGAAACAAGTTCACAGCACATTTCTGGGAGTATTGTTAAATGTAGATAATAAACTGGAGCAGAGTTGAGGCAGCACATCACAAGATGGTTACTATTCACATTCTTATTTGAAAGCGGTGAAAAAAATCACATCTCTGTGGCACAGTGTAACAAGACAAGACATATTTAGGGTATCAATTAAAAGATAAAAGTATCTATTTATTGTTGGTTTAGATTTTTGAAGTGATTTTGCCAATATATATAATAATAAACAATAATAAACAAAATATAGACTTTTGCCACCTTTGTAAATACAGACATTCAAAAACATTGTGTGAGTGAAAGTGACAGAGCAGCACATTCACCTTTATGTCCTTTACTAACTCATTAAAGTACATAAGCAGCAGTGACCACCAGCATCTTACTCACAGGATCATGCAGAACATGATGAAGATGTTCCAGAGAGCAATGAAGATCCGAAAGTATCGCAGGCTGAGCAGGAACTCTCTGATGTTGTCACCTTAAAAAAGAACACATTTTGTATTAATTTCTTTCTTAGTTGTGATTCCATCTCTTTTTGTAATACTCATACACACCTGTTGTTGGCGCTCTGGAGTCATCTCCAAATCCCTGGGCCTCCTTCCTTTTGCTGTAAAACATGGACAGTCAAACTCCCCCTGTTTCGTTTTCTCTGTGCCTTTTCAAAAATGTTGTATGATCTTCTGTTGTTGTGTCTGTGCTGCATGGCCGATGAGTTAGAGGTCTAACATTACAATTTTACTGACGTGTAACTACTTCCTTAAGCATTTGAAACTCACATTATGAATGTTATTTCATTTCCCTTACTGATTATGTATTGTCTTTGTGTGTGGTTGAATCATAAAATAGTTAGAGTCAATAATGCTTGATTCGTGTTCTTTGGATAACAGATTCTGATGCTGTATAACTATATTTATTATTATTATTAACGTTATTTTCTATTATTTAACTTGAAGTATTTCTTACTTTTGATTCATGATTACATAAGAAATATGACAATCTTAGTATAGAGTATTTTTACAACCTGGATCTTTGATTTAAGAGTCAGATTAGTAGCAGTGACTTTAACACTCACAGTTTGAAGTTCAGCACGGCCCCTGCATTCACCAGTAAAGTCCTGTGGAGCACAGAGACACGGTGTTTACAGGTGAGCTGCTTATTTACCTGCGGGGCTAACGCTAGCTGCTGAGCTGGCGTTAGCAACGGAGCTAGTTAGCTTGTCACACGGCCGTCTCACTGACTCCACAGTGGACAACGACACACACGGAGAAGACGTCTGTTGGATAAAAGAACAGTTTCCGTGTGAAAATGCGTCAGACATTGAATCATTTACCCGAATATCAACAGATCCGCGATCATCTTGTTCCCGTCACATCACAGAGACGCCTCTCTTCCGCATTCAGCCACGTCATCAGGAATGTGACCAATGAGCTGCCAGTGTCCAGAGCAGACGTGACTGCGGGTTTTTGCTGTCCTCAGTTTGACTTGTCAGGAAGTCGAGAACAAAACAAAAAAAACAATAACGAGCGCCACCATCAGTCAAGAGATGTAACAACAGAAACATTTTATATGTGGACATGAAGAAAAAAACTAGATGAGACTACTAACTATTTCAAACACTGCTGGGTAGTAGTGAATGTAGTGAATACTTCACAAGATAATCATGTATGTATGTACAAGCTTAATCTGTAAAGTAACTTTTGTACTTTCCAAAGTAGTGGTGTAAAAAGTACAATACTTCATACTGGAAGTTAGTCCAGTATTAGTTTAAAGCACCTCAAGCAGAATCAGAGAAGGATGAAACAAGTTTGCTCAAACAATCAAAAGATGAAAACATGTTCAGGGGGAAGTAGAACAGACACAATCATCTGTCGAGTCAAATACATCCAGTTTTCATGTGTGACACCGAAAAAAAAGTAGTAACGTCTGATTTATTCTATTTATGTATGATAAAGATTTATTTATGCAGCACTTCTTACACTATAGTTATAAAGTGCTTCACAAATAAAAACACAGGTTCAAATGTGCATAAAAACACATTTAAGCTGAAAAACTATACAATATATATGTTATTAAGGAAATGTTAAAAATTTAATAAAATAATTGTTTTTAATCATTATTATAATCTGGTTCGGACTTTGGTGCCCCCTAGTGGTGGCAAAGGCTCTTGCTCTTTTTTTATTAATCTCGTTAGAATGAAAAACAATACATTTAGAATAACATTAAAATGATTAAATAAACACATATAACAAATTTATGAGGTGTTTGAGGAGCACTGCACATTTCACTGCAGCGTTTCTACACGATCTGTGAGAATGTAAACAAGCGGTGACATCAGCAGACGTTGCGGGGATACGGGGATTAGACTCGGTCATGTGGCTGCGTGTGAGTCCGCCTCGGTGCAGGAGCTGATCCGGATTTATCGATGCTTTTAATATTATTTTTCATGAACGAGTGAAACAGTCTTGTAATTGAACGAGGACGCGCAGCTTGTGTCGACGCGCAGCTTGTGTCTCCAGGGCTGCGGACAAACCTCACTGTGATGCCACGATGAGGATGAGGATGATGAAGAGGAAGGCACGAGAACAAGCATTTGGTTTGTCAGTGTAATTCTCAAGCAGCTGACACGTGGAACCCCCCCCCCCCCCCCAACAGCAGCTGTCACGGAGCTGCTGCTGCTGCTGCTGCTGAAGATGAAGATGATGAAGATGAAGATGCTGTGGAGATGAGTGGTATTAATAGGTGGGCTTCAGTGTCACAGACTTTCACTGTCGAGACCTTGGTGGGTTTGGTGGAGAGTCGGTGGACCGGGTTGGGGGGGCTTCCGATCCAGAGTGCGCACTTGGAATAACAGATAGAATAAAGACATTAGAAAAGAAGGATCGTTGTCAGAGACGCAACATGGAGGTGCTGTCAGTTCTTAATTTGGACGATTTAGCCCAAGCGTTCTCCAAAATGGGAATGTTTCCTGTGTTTGACGTCGCTTATTACATCGTGTCCATCCTGTACCTGAAGTATGAGCCAGGTGAGTGTCTTCTCTGTTTGCTATTCAAATGAAAGGTGTGTTGGAATATAAGATAAACACGATAAACCTGTTTCTAACTCAATACACAGGGGCAGCTTCTGCACAAGCCTCACACTCATAAAATATACACAATAGACATGTGCATATTTACAACTATTTAAAAGAAAACAAAGCTGAAATAACACATTTCTAGTAGAAATTCAAATATGAATCATATATGTAATAACTGAAATGTGAACAATCTAGTGTTTGTAGAATGAATTGAATGATAATGTAATAATATTTTGTCAGTTTTAACATTCTGTCATTCTTCAGTGATATAAACACTCCTGGCTCTTATATCCCAATATGGGCTTTCTGCTGTTATCTCTACAGTTGCCCTATATCCTTATAAAGCATGACCTGCATAAGCCGGAGCCCCACAGCTCTCTGCTTCACTTGCTATGAGGGGACTGTGTGTTGCTGCTGCAGCCTGACCTCATGTACTCTTTGTGAAACCACTGGAGTAGATAAAAACCACTCAGCTTTGGGTCAAGCTCGATTTTTTTTCCAAGATTGAACTCGAGTTATAACATTGAGCGCCGTGAGGAGGATGAAACCCGAGAGAAGGCCTGTGCATACCAGCGACTTGGGGCAATAAATAGAAGATCCTGAAATAGCCGGTGTCAGCGGGACTCCGAGGCACCTCATGCTGCTGGAGGCTACATTTGGGCCGGGTGTGTTATTTAGTGTTAAACATGAAATCAGGTGTTGAGTGAGAAGCACAGCGTGACCTTATTGTCCTTTGAGGGTGTCGAATCTGAACCAAAGCTCACAACCTTTACTGGAAGTTTACAGCTTGTACAACATGATTCTCATGTCAGACAACTGGGATGCTGGAACAAAAAATGTATCTTTATGTAATTATCACCCTCATCTTCCTTTGCCACTTGCAGAGAGGAGCGTCCAGGAAGGTGAATGAACATTCATGCCCCTCCTCTTCATTATTTGGCTTCAGGAAACTAAAAGGGACAATCCCAGCTGACATTTGGCGAGTTGACCCTAGACAGGTCGGCAGTGTATCACAGAGCCGACATATAGAGACCAACAACTATTCACACTCACATTCCCGCTTAACGACAATTTGGAGTCTCAAGTTAACCTAACTCCAATCTGCATGTGCTTTGACTGTAGGAGGAAGCACCTGAAGAGAACTCTCACAGAAATGAGGAGAACATGCAAACTCCTAAAGAACTCTCCCAGCAAAACCAGGATTCTAACGGGGAACCTTCTTTCTGTGAGGCGACAGTGCTGTTGTCCCCTTACCCCTGTTGCGTTAAGACACTGACAACGTGCCCTTTAAAAACTTAACCTTCATTCTGTTAATGGCATTAATCTGTGTTTTAGAGTTAAATCCATTATATCATTGGTCTTCAGGCTGAGCTGCAGTCTGTTGCTCCCAAACCCGACTTCACATCAGAATATTTCCCAGTCAAATGAGCCGCCAACATTTGCAAGATTCACCATTCATTCCCCCTCACATGTCGGAGCAGTTCACACACTGGCCACATATCAGAGGAGCACATGAATGAGCTTTGGGAGTCCGCAGTGGTGGAGGGGAGAAAGGAGAGAGACAAGTGTGGGGGTCAGAGGTCAAGACGGGCCCCGACAGTTGCAAGGCAGGAGAAGCAGTTGAGCAGGTTTTATTTATAGGGCAACATTTCTCAGGATCAGATTGCTCTCAAACCGAGCGCCGTTCACACCAGGACACCCTCACCCACCTGTTGTTGGGGATCTGTGCTCACATCCCGATTCACTGAGCGTCTCCCACAATGTTGTAACACAAGCAAGACCTCATTTAAACACACATGCTTTCTGTAAAGCGTATACCTGGCATATAAACGTGTAGCATTTGTGTATTTTGTGTCAACTCCTGAGTCAATATTAGATTATGATGAAGAGACATATTATCAGGGCCTGCTCAGACATGGTGGACAGGGTGTGGACAAAGATACAGCAGACAAACACACAAGGGATCCACAGATATTGACTTGAGAAGGTCAACGCCAACAGTTCTGAGCTCCAAGAACCAATGAAACATTTTCCCCCAAGAAAGGACAAAAATAAAAAACAGAATTTATTTTCCAATCACAGCGAAGAAGCTCTTTTCAGTGTTTATGAATCACAACTTATTTTAATTACTGATACATTTAGAGAACATGAAATTACTTTCAAGTTTTTTTTGCAAGAAGGAGTTTAAGATAAGATAACTCCACCACCTTCACTGCTAATCGAACCCGTTCACTGAAACAGATTCTTATGATGTGTTGGTTATCATTTTCAATAAGACGCTCCCTGACAGCTGCTCCTCTGTGTTTCAGGCTCGGTAGAGGTTTCCCGCAGGAGTCCCGTGGCCTCCTGGCTCTGCGCCATGCTCTACTGCTTTGGTAGTTACATCCTGGCCGACATCATGCTCGGGAGCAGCCCCGTCGACTATTTCCAATACAACAGCCACATCCTGCTGGCCTCAGCTGTCTGGTGAGAAAATCCTCAACAGCTCTTCACCCTTCACAAGGGGAGAACAGAGATTCTGTTTCAAAGTCAAACAAGGTCCCAAATCTGCTTCTGTTAAATCCAGGCTTTTCATCAAACTTTTAAGACTGTGTACGTTTTATAATTGTCCCCCGCAGGTCATTGTGTGGGAGTGATTCCATTCAAAAAAATAATTTGGTTAATAATTTGTGAATTTTGTGAAACTGCCACCAAGATCCACAATCCATCGTCATGATCCAACCCCCACTCTCCACGATCAGGGTTTCTCTGAGGAAGAGAAACAAATCTTTCAAGTTGCATATGAAATATGTTTCCCACTTATAATCAATAATATCTTACCACACAGCATTTGTATGTTTTTAGGTCTGGTTAATTATTTTCAAAGCATCAAGGACTGAAATGGCGTCAAATCTTTCTGTTTTGTTTGGGATCCTTGATGGTGGAACATTTGTTAAAGTCAGGGCAGGGATGTCCTCCTCTGCATGAATCTCTTAAAGACTCAGCTTTTCTTAAATCCAGGTGACTTCCCCGCACCTCAGGGTCATTACCTCGACCAAGGAGGCTGTTTTTGCTCCTGTCCGTTTGTTTGTCAGCAAGATAAGAAAAACTACTAAATGGATTTCCACAGAACTTAAGAACAGGACATGGGCCAAGAGAGAGCCTGTTAAGTTTTGGCATGGATCTGGACAAAGAGGAAGATCTAGCGTTTTATTTCCCACATTCTTTAACTGTGACACTTTCACTGTTTTCAGAGGAAATAGTTTATGGATCTTGATGAAAACAGCCAGGTATATTTATGGGACTGATAACTGTAGGTGTGAGTGAATCGGTTGACCTTCATTGAAGGGGACCTTTGGACCTTAGCGGACTGAGCATGTGCTATTCT